AGAGGGGTAATGATGTATGTTTAATGAAGGCATATATGAATCGAAGAAGTAATGATTTTGATGGGGGTGTAAGGGAAAGTGATTGTTTTGGCAAGTGGGGTAATGATGTATGTTTAATGAAGGCATATATGAATCGAAGAAGTAATGATTTTGATGTTTTCGAAGTTCATGAAATGAGACGGGAGAGAAATGAAAAGTGTGAAGCGATAACAAAAGTTGTATAAAGAAAATGAAATTTTTAGTACTCCATATATCTTAGTGAAGTTCTGGATGTGTGGCAGGAGTGATGCAATGAGAGGAACGTATTGCATTGTGTGAGTGATTTGTCTACACATACGAGTGATGCGGGTGACATTGTTCTTTTCTTCTCAAGTCGCGGCGTGCGATGTCCTTTTTTATAACATGTAATTGCAAATGACATGTGTGTAGCTTCTGATGAATTCGCAGCTAGCGGGATCACACATATCAGTTTTATGCAGCTAGCGCGGTGTAATTCGTGTGTGTCCCCCCGCCATGTAGTTTACGGAGCTGCAGAGAGGGAGAAAGAGAAAAGCAGAGAGAGAGAGAGGGAGAGAGAGAGAGAGAGAGAGAGAGAGAGAGAGAGAGACAACAAACTATAGAGTTTTATCCTGCACTTGACTACGCTCCTTCCCTCGAAAGCAATCACTTTCTCAGCCACGACATCCATTTAGGTTACCTGCACTTTTACAGCCTTTCCAAAGCCTCCAATGCACTTTAAGTACATGGAAAAACTCTGTGGAACAATTCCACCAATGTGTCCCCTTTCCAAAGCCTCCAAATTCAAGGCGCTGATATTCTCCCTCCTCTATCATCTCCTCCCGTTCCAACTAACGGTCCGCCTTCTGCAACGTTTTTCTCTCTCTCTCCGACACGTCCCTCGGTCGCATTTGAACTTCTCGCTCCTGACCCCTCCGCTGCTTCTACTTCTCCCTCGTCATTGTCCTCTTCTTCCAACACCTCCTCTTCTTCTGACTCCTCCTCCTCATCGCTGTATCCTTCAAAGGAGACACGTCTCCGTTTGCCTTTGCGGAATTTTCTTTCAGAATTTTGCATGTTCTCTCTCGCCTTCCGAGTTGTCTTCCCGGTGTTCTCTTGCCGTTGCGCTTGCTTTTCCTTGTACGCCCATGGTCTTTGCATACCTTTCCACATATTCAGGTTTACGCGAGGTATTATGTCCCTGTTGTACTTCGCACCTTCTTCTTCTTCAAACTTCTCGATACATTCTTTCAAACTCCATTCTCTCGAATAAATTTTCGTCCTCCAAAACCACGTTCTGACCACATGATCAAATGTTTTTTTGCCCCTCTCTCGCGGAGTGTTTGTGTCGTTCGTTTCTACACCTAGTTTCGCCAATTCCCTTTCAGCAACAACTATGGCAGTGCTTTGCACGACGTGCAAATCGGGCCGCAAACAAAGTGTTGGATGCACGAAAACAAACCCTTTTTTCACCAACTCCGCGCCAACATCTAAAGGAAATCTTTTCCCTCTCAGCACATTCACATCTGCGATAATCCTCCCAAACCCGTCATCGTAATACGTATCCAGATACACTTCCGCACCTTCTACTCCTATGAATCCCATGTCCTTTATAATCCTCATCAGAAGTTGGTGCATATGACTGTATTGTTCTCTTTCTATTCCATCGATGTGTGTCATCCGCACGCGAACACTCCTCTCCCGCATTTCGTCTGGCAATCTGGGATGTTTCTGACGACAGTTCGTACATCCATCCTCGGTAACGTTCATAGATTTCAGTTTCACCACAACGTCGTCTAAATCCGTGATTGCTACCAACTCCCTGCACGCGCTACCCGGAACCGAACATGAGAAGTTTGGGCACACACCGTGCCCTTTTATGGCTGCGCCGGTGGCCTCTATCATCTGCCTCAAATGCAAGAGCATTACATCCCATGGATCCTCCTGACCCGCAGTCAACTTGTCAACTTCACATGCGATTTTCTTACATATTCCTCGTCTATCGCTAACGGTTATTCCTTTCGCGTCTGCCACGTGGAAGTCGTGCGACTCAATCGGCCGCAGGTCCATTTTTGTCGGAATCAACCGCAAGTACGGGTGTCTGCTGCACAATTTGAACACTACCAAGGCTTTCCAAATGCTTTTCAAAGTAGCCATCTTCGTTGCTACCATCTCCTCCCCGCCAACACGGTCCGCCTCCAATCCTTTTATGAACGCTCTTGCACCTTGCGGACTTTTATCCTCCAACCATACCCTCCACGAAACATAAGGGGAACCATTTCTTCCCTCGTTCAACTTCTTTTCTATATAATAAGCAAACCTTCCTTGCTCCATACAGTTCATTTCTTTGACTATCTCCGGCGTTGCCACCATCTGTCTCCATCCTTGCGAGTAATGGTCAACATACCTATCATTTCCGTAATGGGTGCCCCTCTGTTGACTACTGCAACTATCTCTGGGTTCGTCGACCTCCCTAACATGCTATATATATGCGGTTTCCACGTCACCGCGTGTTTTTTCAGTGTCGGGCACGAACCATCTTCTATGCCTGCAGCAGCGGCTTCTGCACGACCGTCTACGCCTTCTCTTCTCCTACATCGGCTTCTTTTAGGAGTCGTTGCATTCGCGGGTGCTTGCACGATGTTCTCTTTCGACCTTCCTCCAATCTCTCTTCCCTGTTCCCCTGTCTGCCCTACTGTTGCTTCATCATTCGTTCCCTCTTGTCTTCTCTGTTCGTCTTCCCTTCCCTCATCGTCTCCCCTTCCATGTGAAGGCTGATTATCCTCTCCCCTTCTCCCTTCATTATCTTCCTCTCTCCCCCGACTTCCAATTGCCGAGGTATTGACTCTGTTTCTGACCCTCCTTCCCTCGTGCTCCTCCCCCACGATAGAGGGGGTCGCTCCCCCCATCTCGCTCAATATCGGCGGCACGATGTAATGTGGCTCCACGAAATTCAATTGGCTACTCACAACCGGCTCCCATATCTCGCATGTGCGAATTGCAAACTCCTCCAAATTCATTGCGATGAGTCGATGCCCACCAACATCCCCGCCCACTCGACCGATATTGCGATGCTCTGATAGAATCACATATTCATTGCCACAATCAATACCGTCCGCGAGTCCAACGCAAACTGTAGCGTGCAAACCCATTTCGTTTTCGTTTGACCTGTTCAAAGCACCCAACCATCTTTTTATGTTGTTCGATGTTCCTCTCTCCACATTTTCTCTCCATCCCATAATATACTCATCCGGCACTTCAGTTTCTTCCAATTCCTCGTAAAAAATTTTGTCCATGAGTCGTCAAATGGCAACGACGGGTTTACGATCTTCTGCCGAAGGAGGATTCAATGCCCCCCGAACAACTTCTTTCATTGCTTCCTCCCTTAAGGCGCCTCAATCCTTGTACCCCACCTCCTCCTCCTCATCCCGTACAGGGATTTGAAAACAGGGACGCCAATGAAGACGTGCCATGTGGTTCACCGAGTCCACTGCCCCGTTCCCGACGGCCAAATCCCCCAACGCATCAGATATTTTTCTACCCACACGACCCACAGCATGACCGTCCCCCATTACGCATTCCCCGCCTGAAAGTGCGTGCAACCAACACGAAGAAATTTTGTCTCCGTCTGCCGTCGCCCACCGCACTACTTTCGAAATGTTGACGCACAAGCTGCAGGCACCGATCTCGTCCTCCTCGGGAATACCATATATTATCGTTCTCCCTAAGACGGATCGATCTAGGCTCCTACAATGAAACATAGTGCTGTGTTCCCCGACTTGTACTCTACGCTGGAGACTGCCCGTCGGGTTCCATACACGCAGTTGCGTAAACCTGCTATACTTTTCTAACCGCTGCATAGCCTCCCACGCCGAAAGTTGTGACTTTTCTATCGCTCCTCCTTCCCCCCACTCTATTTGTATTTCATCCTTTACATCCTCCAACAACATCACTCCCAATGCGAATATCTCTGGGATGGTCAATGGTCCACTATGTCTCCTAACGTCCTCTAACAACACGTACAACAGCATCAAAGGGTTCGTTTGACCCACTTCGTCTGTCAATGCCCTCATCAACCCCGCATAACGCTTACTACTAAACGGTTCTTTCCACCTTCGCTCGTTTTCGTCCATTGTCTACTCCATTCATACCAAAGTGAAACAGTCAATCACAACAGGACACAAAACAATCACAACAACTTAAGACCGCCGCTCGCGCATTGCCTCTACAAATGTTCTTTTCAGAATAACAAATTTGTTTTTATCTCCTTGCATTACCGACGTTTTGTGTCTGGTGAGGTTCATGATTCAACATACCATTCAACATACCATTTAACATACCTGAAAGCAAACCTGCAAGGCGGAGCCGCTCGTACAAAATTTTGGCGGAAGCCTTTACCCTTCACCCTCGTAATCTTTTTGCCCGTCCAATCGAAATATAATATATGTTTATTCAGTCCCTCCTCATGCCAAACATAACCTTTCTCCTCATCCTCACGAAGAGCGGCACAGTGTCCAGGAGCTGCATGCCCTTGCGACTTGCAATACCAGCAAAACATGTTATTGATCCATTTTTCCCTTCGCAAATCCCTATTGGATTTCTGTCGTTTTGGTTCCCTCTCCTCCTCTGCAGTGCTGTCACCTCCCAAAATTTCATTCCCTTTCTCTCCCAACACTACATTCTCTTCCACCGTTGCTGTCTCTTCCATCGCTTTCTCCTCCATTTCCCTCTCCTTTATATTTTCCCGCCTTCTTTTCTTTTTTTTTATAGATTTTTTCCCCTCTTCTTTCTCCACCGCCATCACCTGCGTTATTATTTTCTCCAGATTTTTCATCTTGTCTGCCAACATCTTCATCACCTCTCCTTTCTCCTCCCCATCTCCTTCCCCTTCCGTTCCCTTCCCTGCCCCTTTCCCCAGACCCTTTCTCATTTCGGCTTCCCTCTTTTCTATTTCTCTTTCTTTTTCCTTCAACTCCTCCATTTTTTCTTTCACGGTTTTCAACTTCTCGCCCACTTCCTTCATTCTCTCTTCGTGTAGTTTCTTCCTCTCCTCTTCCCTCGCCTCCAAATCTTTATCCGTTTCTTTCTATAACTCTTCCACTTCTGTTCGTACATGGTTCTCAATTGTACGACTTCCTCGTTCCAATTCCTTTCCAATTGGTTCACTTTCTCCCTCGTCGCTCTCGCAAACTCTTTTGAGCTTTCAAATTTCTCTTCCAACACGTGAATCTGGTCACTCGTCTCCTTCAGAGTT